TATGTTTGACGCCACACACAATCGAAGACTTACAAGCGAAAACTGACAAACTGGTCGAAGAAGCAGCAAAGACAGGACTCCAGGTAAACATAGACAAGACGGACGTTATGAAAATAACCAACCAGCAACGGCATCCAACGTCAATCACCATCAACGGGAGGGATTTGAAAGAGGTTACTTCATTCACTTATCTAGGGAGCATTGTCTCAACTACAGGAGGAGCGGACGATGATGTCAAATCGAGAATCGGGAAGGCGAGAAACACATTCATCAGCCTGAAATCAATCTGGAAATCTTCGTCACTCAGCATCACCAACAACATTCGGATTTTCAATACAAACGTAAAGTCAGTTCTTCTATACGAATCAGAAAGTTGGCGGGCGGGTCACAAAGAATATTTCCAAAAGTCTGCAGACCTTTATTAACAACTGTCTTCGCTCTATACTGAAGATCAGATGGCCAGGCCGGAAAGAATCACCAACAACAAGAAACTATGGCTGGGGACAAACAAGAACCAATCGCCCAACAAATATGCAGGAGAAAGTGGAGATGGATCGGACACTCGCTGAGGAGACCGCTGGGTGACATCGCGCGTCAAGCCCTCGAGAGGAATCCGAAAGGGAAGCGGCGTGTGGGACGTCAGTGCAAGGGTGACATGGAGGAGATCGTGTGAAGAGGAGTTGAAAGAATATGGACTAACATGGATACATGTGAAAAGTACAGCAGAAGATAGAAGCAAATGGAGACGTGCAGTTGAAGCCATATGTTCCACTAGGAACCCAAGGGAGCAATAATAATAACACGCGTAAATTATCGTTTGTGTTTTCCATTTCCCACAATTCATGATTCCATTAAATAAAACACTCGATATGTTTTGTTGTCTTTGCTCTTTGAATTAATGTTTTGATGGTCCCCTAATTTTCAAGTAACATCTTCAAAATTAAGTTGAAGGTAACTGGTTCATAGGTTACTACTTAACTCTACTATTTTGTCTTTTTCAGTAAAATCTTATTAATTTCAGTATAGATGAAAATTATATTTTGGAATTTTATTTAATCTTTAGTTTGATGGGTAGTCATTTTCTGGTTACCATACCCTAATTAAAACATTTCCGCACCTCGATTTCTTTTTAATACTGAAATAGTGATCCAGGCTTGTCAATAAAACATCTTATCCTGCATTATCACTACCCATCCATGCCTAGATTTTCAGTCAAAACGCTTTATAACTACCACCTAACACTTAAATTATGAAACGTCTAGTTTCTGCTTGATTTAGACATTACAACTTGATGTTTATCGGTATTACGTAAATTGTCGTTTACCGAATGATTAAAAATTTACACATGAATAAACTTCAACTTAATATCCTCAGAAAAATATATTTCTTAGGTCGATAATAAATATATATATGTGATACTTTTACGTTGAAACTTGTTGTCATAAATGGTTTGACTATTGACAAGGCGAATGACTTCTTTTGTTTAGTCGACATATCTGTAACTCTTAAACCCTATTGTAAAGTGATAATTATTAAAGACAGGCTATTGTTCCCTGTGCCTTAGAGAAAATCTTGTTAACAATGATTACCAACGGTTAGTAAATCTCCCTGAACCAATTACGTAAATGTGTTACAAATGATTATTTCAGTCTTTTAATATCATGACTTCTTATAACACTAAGAAACTTTAACAGGATGAGGCCATCTGAAAACAAAGTTAAATACCACTCTTCACTTAATATATCTTAGTTTTCTGAATACTGACAGTGTGTTTGTGTGTGCTTTTAGTATTTCATTTCTCAAACATATCACCAAGTAATTTTATGACAAGAGTAAACAATAGACATCAAAGTCAAATGACCTTGAACTGACCAATCAGATAGCTCAGCATTACAAATGGTTGCTAGTCGCAATCCTCTCTGAAAATATCTCCGAGATTTGATTTTTGACTTCTTTGTAGAAAGTGTCTTGATAAGGAAAAATAAAACATGCATATGTGGAGGGATAATGACTCTGCAAAAGTTTCGCCGACCTATTGATGGTTGTACATTGAGATGCAGCCCATTCACATGAGAAAGTCTGAATAAGTTGGTATGTCGTGCATAAGTGGCGAATTTTTTAGACACTTCTCAAAATCAAAGCTCTCCTTCAGTAATATATTGCGTATATGCAACTAGTATCTGCTACGGCTGGAGAAATAGAGAGTAGATTGGTTTAACATGTCTGTAACGACTTCTATGAGAATCTGGGGCCAGTTTTTGCAGTATATTATAGATATATAACCTATATGATTCATTTTTATTCCATATATCATGGGTACACTTTTTTTATAAATGAAGTACCACTTTCACGTAGAAGAATCTGATTAGCTGTTTCAAGGTCGTCTGAAGTTGGTGTCTGTTCTTTACTGTTACAAATTTTATTTTTCACCCAAGACAAAAATGTTGGTGCCTCTCTTACTTTTGAATACCATTTCTGAAGTCACTGTTGAATGCACTGACAATCGTGTTAGATGAAAAATAGTCTGTTTTTATCTCTTAAGTTCTGATTTCCCTTAAAATCAAATATTTATTATATCAGAGCATACCAACAAAAAAGATTTTTAAAAAAAAACAATGTCATTATGGTATGCCTCTGTGGAACCTGTTTCATCCTCATCTATCCATTATCCACTTGCTATTCTTCTAGTATATCTATTATACAACCACTTTTTATATGCATTCTGCTGAAACATCCCTTAGGTTAACCATGAATCAACAAACCGTTTGTTTTTCAAGTGTTGGTTTGTGGGGATTTGATTGGGCCATTGGATCGGATCCCAGTGACTTAATGGTATACCAGCTGGCTAGCCTTGTAACCAGAAAGTTCAGGGTTCGAATCCCATTGGGTGCATGCTGCTGAAGAATTCCAAACTAGGACGAAACAGCTGTCAAGCACTCCCAGGTTTTTTAATGGTTTTCTAACTAATGTCAGCCCATGATGAAATCCTGTAACCAATCTGTTTTTTGGTACAAACTGAGTTGTTTCATTAGCATTAAGTTCTACTCCTTAAGGTCGCCATTCGTTTTGAACAATTCGCATAGTTCTATTTTCCCTGATCAGTTGTCACAATATTATTATAGGCACTGTTGAAATCAAATGTTTTCTAATAACTATTATAATATTAATGTTTTAGTATAATATTTGACTATTATCCATTGATAACAAAACATGCATACGCTTATTATTTCTAACTCATCTACCACCTGAATAGTCTTTCAACTATGACCATTCTCATAAACATTACCTCAGCTACATTTGTTTGCAGATGTGTATGTTCCTGTTTTCTCAGTGTTATCATTCGGTATGTATGTATGCGTATGTGCGTGTATTGTTGTATGCTAAAATTCATTGATCCTAATATATATATATATATATATATATATATATATATATATATATATATATATATATATATATATATATATTACAATGTAATCATTCAAAAATAATAGAATATAAACAAAATTGAATTGGTTATTTTTCATAGAAATTCTAATCGACTTGACGTCAACTACCCGATCAAAATACCATTTATATATATAACTAATAATTAAATACAAATTTCGATAGATATTTTCAGACGACTCTGAGTGATTAATGTGATTTTAAGTCTTTTATTTTACTTAAGAGCAAGAATTCACACTTTTATAAGCATAAAAATTGTAAGCGTTAGTGATTTGTCTAGTTAAAAGAGCCCAGCAATATTAGCTTCTCTTTAAAGTAATTTTATAACTGGATACATCTAATGTTTTGATTGGACACTAGTCAGCAGCTAGTGTAATGTGTATAGTCCTTTGCTTGATGCAGACTGAATTCTATCAGTCAGATTTGCGATGTGGCCAGCACTCTAGGTGGCTCGCCATCACTGTGAACTGTTTATATCAGATGGTTGGATGCAATCATCAGGAATTTCAGTGTGACTCAGGTTTCACCAGTTAGCAAGGTGTATCTGCAACTGCCTTGAATGAACTCATGTCCCTTCTGAAATTCGAACCCAAAAAACCCAGTGCTACAGTCACAGACGTTACTACTGAGCAGTGTGCACCGTGATGGCGAGTCACCTAGCGTGATGACCGCATTGTAAACTTGACTGTTAGAATTAAGTCTACACCAAACAAAGGACTAGACACTTTACCGTACGTTCCAAATAATGTCCAATGAAAGTATCCAATACAGTCCTACAGGAGTTCTATGGTGGTCCCGAATAACTCAGTGGTAACGTCTCTGATTGCAGCACTGGGTGATTCTGGTTATAATCTCAGAAGGGACATGAGTTTCTTCAAGGCTGCAGATACACCTTGGTGACTGGTGAGTCCCAAAGAGCACGAAACCTAGGTCGAAGTCTTCGTGTGGCAGATTGCCTCCAGCCATCTAATGTCAACATCTAATGTTACGAATACTTAGATTCATGGAAAGAAATTAAGGAGAAAAAGAAGAAGATAGCCAAAGAATCAGTTACAGGATTTCATCATGAGCTGATATTAGTCAGAGAACTATTGGAAAACCTGGGAGTACTGGACAGCTGTTTCGTCCTATTCCAGTACTCCCAGATTTCCCGATGGTTCTCTAACTAATATCAGCTCATGATGAAATCCCGTAACCAATCAAATCCCTACAAACCAACACCTGAATAGCCAAAGAAGTTGAACAAAATGAGGCAGAACCATGACACATATGCTTTGTCTTTTCTCTCGCTGGCTTCAAACACTATAAGTGGATTCACGATATGAGTCTGATTCCATTGGTTAACTTTTTACTAGCTTCTGTTTTATGTGCAGCGGTGAGGTTTGACAACTAAGAATACAAATCAACAATACCTGGCTCTATACTGATACTGTTTATATGTGTTGTTTCAATGTCTTTATATCTTATTTTGTGTTTAATTTCAGTTTGCATTATAACATTCATTAAACAATATAGTCGTAATAATATTACTTTTATTTTACTAATTACCACAGTCATGGAATCTTTCGTCGTCGTAGTGCCAGTCGACCAAATTATTCAAGCAATATGATGCAACGTAGCATGACGTCAAATAGTGCAATTAATGGAAGTTATCTATCTTTGACAAATTCATCATCAAATGATACTAATTATCATTCATCAATGAATGGAAATCTAATTCGTTCGAATCCTAACAAGATTCTTACATCTCCATCATCTCCACCTTCACTCCCGACATATTTAACTGGATCAACTAATCTAATGAACAATTATGTTGATATTGCATCAAATAATCCTATTGGATTAACACCAAAACGTGAAAAACGCAGAGTTCTAACTGTCACTGGAGATTTAATGAATCCTAGTCGTTTGACACGTGTTTTTACGCGTAGTCGTAAGACATCACAAACTGTCATAGATGCTTCCTATAAACAACTTCCAAATGCACAAATATTAAGACAAATGTCAATTACAGGATTAAATGTTAATAATACAAGTGGGTCAAGTAATAACTTGGACTGGATATCTGATGTTGAAGATAGATCAAGTACATTGGTTAGAAAACAGTCTGAGAAAAGTTTAACTAATTCTACTGCATCGAAATCAGTAAACAGTAGTTCCAGTAAGGACAGTAATAAACGTTCTAAAGCCCAAAATGGAACATCAACGAAATCTTCACTTTTAAATCACCATGATAATAGCAATAATACTACTGTCAATAATGCGGATTCGAAAAAGACTACTCCATCCAGACAAGCTGTTCAGGTTAGTTATCTTTTATCACTGTATATTCTTTAAACTATCTAAAATCCGTACAATGATTCCAATATACGTAAGACTTTTTGTCGTGAAATGCGCTTACATAAATAAACCTTGGAAACCAGAAATCTTATCATATAACTAACTCTAGCTCTGCATATTTCTGTTTTCTGCCAAATGATACTGATACTGAGTCATTCCTTAAGAATTTGTTAATTGTTAACAAGTAACATAACGTTCCTGTCTAATAATATCATCGATAAGTATCTTTATTCTCCTCTAACGTGGTTACTTCACTTAAAAAGGTACTGTCAAACTTCGATTGCACTTGATGTCTACAATTTATTTAAATTTATTAAAGCAAAGTGCAAAGCAGCCACTTAGTCAGAGAATAATGACATTAAAATCCAAGATAACTGCATATTTCCTTAAACTGTCACATTTTATATAAAAAAATATTAAAATAAAAATGAAAAGTTATAAGACAGACGTATACAAAATACGGTATAAAAGATGATAAACAACAAAGTCATTAGACAAAGTGGAAAAGAAACAAAGTCAATAAAAAGTAATAATAAATCCTTAGTGATATTTTGAAGAATTGAGCAGAGAAGAGGCGACGTCAGTACATCCGGAATAAAACAGCTGATGCGAAGTTATTATATGCCTTTAGACCTGCAGTCACTTATTTTGATTATTTTGAAAAAACGTCAGTCGCAAATATTTTGAGTTTCAATTGAATTATATATATATATATATATATATATATATATGACACCTTCAACCGTTTCCTTTAAACAAATATGATGTCTGTATCATAAATTATTTGTAGTACTATATGAAACTTGGTACTTCACTTAATCAATTCCCCACAGATAAATGTATGAAGACACTAATTGTTCGTGTTGCTTCTAATCATGTTAAGCATCTTTTGCCTTCCTCTTTTTGACATAAATTTATCGTCAATGGCTGCAGATCCTCTCATTTTTCATTCCTTGAACGGTTAGCTAGACTATTTATCATCATTAAAATTGACATTTGTCTTATTACGAACTCCTGAATCTAATTTTTGTATTTCATTCGTGTTCTTCGCCTAATTGTTCATTAATAGTCTCTTTTTTCCATGAGCTTCTGTAGCATTCAGCTGTGCTAAGACATAAGGATAGATTTCGTTACAAGCAAGCATCTACAGAGAGGTGTTGAAAATCATCGAAAAGACGTCGATATGAATAATTGAATGGGCGAAGATTCGTAATTTTTATCTCCGCTCTACTGAAATTGTGAAGGAAGGTGGTCACTCGTGAATTCCAGTTATTTATTGTTAAAATAGCTCCATTTGGAGTTTGCATTGCTAATATGCTAGTGACCAAAGTGAATCAATTATTCAGTACTTCCCACTTCTCGATGATTCTCTAGCTGATGTCACTTCATAATAAAATTTTCTTGAAACTAAATCAAATTCTCACAAATACAACATGTTAATAGAACTGACGTCTTTTTAGACTTTACAAATAACTTAAAGAAATTTGGAACTCCCCATTATTCTTTACTATCTAAATACTAACAAAATTCACCATATATTGAGTTGTTAAAATAGTTTTCAAAGCATTCAAGAAATACCAGTTCCTAACCCTTCAGTAGTTTCATGCTATTTAGAATATCAAAATGATCACTCGATAGTGTGTGACAATTGCATAGAAATCAGGAAACGTGATTCATCCCTTTATGATCTCATTATCTTTATTTACGTTTATTCGATCACTGATATTCCCAGTGTAAATTGAAACCATAATGGCTTGTGTACTGGTATTACGAATCTTTTACAATAAGTACTGTTTACTATTCTCCTGTACCTAATAATATTTTCTTGTCCACTTTAGTGATTCTGAATGACTGATATACATTAGAATATGCATTTATTGAGCGCATGTCTAGATTTTATCATTATGTTATTTGCTCATTGATGGTTAACAGTTTTAAGTGTGTCTTACTTCTTAAGTGTCGTTTTGAAGTTAATCGGTTTAAGGAGACATACAAGTTGGATGGTTTTAAGTAATCAGTAGGAAGCCTTAAACCTAGGTTTGGTGCCTGCTGACACTCATCAGTAAGATATATATCCATAAACTTGACTGGTAGAATTCAGTTGACACAAAAAGCAAGGACAAGATACACGACATTGCCTATTCACTGTTTGTCAGTCAATCTATCCATTAAAGTTAAACATGAGTCCGAATAGCTCATTGATAAGGACTATGACTGAAACATTGAATGACGCCGGTTCTACTGTCAGCGGCGACATTAGCTCCACAGAGATTGTTGATGTATCTTGCTGACGAGTGACATTAAGCTTGAAACCCAGGTCTATGGCTCCTGCCTGCCTCCAACCACAAATAATATCAATTCAGAAAGCGGCGTGATGGTGAATCACCTAGTTTCGTGATAACATTCCAAACTTAAGCGACTTAGGACTAGACGCATGGTACTGGTAAATATCAACTGACCAATTTATTATTTTTTTTCCTTCATGTTCCCAGTGGAACATACGGCTTCAAGCTAGAGGCTTGAAGTTTCTGTAGCAGCGTTTATTTTACAGGATGGGGTTGCTAGCCTCATGCCCAACCTTCCCTCTTCACCAGTCTGATTACTGGCTTAGCGAGGTAAAGGAGTGCGTCGGCCGGGGATCGAACCCCGGACCGTGTTTATGGTCGGTGAGCTTCCTAACCGCTATGCCACTGACGCGACCAATTTATTAGTTCAAATGAATTCATTTCAATATAAATCTCATCATAAACTTACATTGACTACATAATCACTAGAAATCAAAGAGCACTTGGCACCTGTTTTATTCCACTATGATATTCAGTCATTCTTCAATTAATGTCGATTGTTAATAAAATTTCTCGTGCGATTATTTAGATCTCCTTAAATGCGACACCTGAATTGTCTCATTTCATTTGCAGCAAACTCATTGTTACATCAGCTAATAATATTTTTAAACAATTTCTATCTATTTCACAGAATTTTTGCATGCTAGTGTTGGAAAAAATACAGACGAGGTAAATTGCCACAATACAGTCAGCCTACTGTGTTCGCTTTTGTCTTCTTTTCACAGCTCATGGTTTTTGTGTTTTTGGGGTGATTAAACGCATCTGGGCTATTTTACTAGCTAGCTCACTAATATGTTATTAACTCTAAATAGAACATTCTACTTTTAGTAACTTATGAGTAATACAATTTTTATTTCATAAATTCCTCAGCTATACAGTTTGTATTTTTCATAGATTTAGGATTTAATTTTTACTCTGAGAGAAAAAACCATGATGATTTCGACATTAACCTAATAGATAATCTTAACCTAAGACATAGATATGTTATTATTCCTTTGGGCTTCCAAGTGGTATATAGGGCTTCAACAATACATCTCTGTTCTGCTCTGTTCTCTGCAATCCTCTTTAGTTGGACCACAAGCTCTCCTCTCTTCCTGGGATCATCTCCTCCAAGTGAATCTGAGACTCACAGATAACCATTTCCTGTTCAGGGGTGTCCAGAGGGTCTATTGCGTGATGTTACTCAACGAACTGTCCATCTTCAATCCCCTTGGCATATTTGTCAGTCTATAGGTTCTTGGTTGGTCCATTGTAAGAGTGTCTTGTCTCTATGTCTTTTTAGCCGTCCTATCTTCAAATATAAAGCCAACAGAAGCAGGCCTTGATGTAAATCTGTAGCCTGTCGGAAATGCTCTTGGTGACCACGTGCCAAGTCTCCGAACCATTTAGAAGCAACGATTTGACATTAGTGTTGAACACAATCCGATTCTTGTTCTTTTTAGCTGAGTGTAGCCAATTTTCACACTTATTTTAAATGAGTGAAGATCAGTCTTCCTTTTTTTTTATCCTGTCTGTCTTTGACATCCTCATCTATGCGGCCTGTCTATAACTGATAAGATATCGCCCATGTGTTGTGTGAAAGACGTAATCCTTTTTTCAAATTCCTCTAGTTGATAGTAATTGGTGCTTATTGTTGCCGCTTATTTATCTTCATCACCACTGTCTTGTATTTGTTAAATATGTCTAATTACATAAGTATTAATAGCAATCATATTAATATTTCGAAAGTTAACTGCAGTATCACGTGTCACTGGACCTCATATTTTTCATCACTTCTACAATAGGATGAATATCTATCCTTTCTAAAGAAAAACGTGTGCAGCGTCGTTGTTTTAACGATTTTTATTGCAAATTTATTCAAATTAGCGGTGTCACTTATTTTTTTTAAATAAAAAATGGTACTTTGTTTGCTAACTGCTTACTTAATCTAACAACTAACTTATTCAACCGAGTATCGAAATAATAATCATGTTTGCTTATTATTCATTGCATACTTCCTGTTTTCCTCTTCTTATATTCTTCATATTTTCATAATTATGCCTTTTGCCTAAATTGATTTTTTTTTCCTGTCATGACTGCACAAAATATTAAAAAGTGATGGAATACACTTTTGTGCTATGTCCTTCACTGCTGTGAGTGTGTGTGTTTTGTTAGTAACTTTAGTTAATATAATGAAGTTATTATTATTATGCTGTAACGCGTGAGATGTCACCTTACCTTTCAGATTCAAACTACTAGTTAATAAAAATAAACAAGGACGTTCTATGAAACACATGATTACAAATTTAATGTATTTATACCTCACTTTAACACTTTGTTTGACCAAAAGCGGTATATCTAGAGTTTCATCTGATGGAACTATTATCATTATCATCCCATTGGATCCCGAGTGGAACACGGGACTTCAACAGAAAATCTCAATTTTGTCCTGTTCTCTGCAGTCCTATTTAACTTGTTTCAGGACTGTCTATAATCTCTCACCTTATCTCTTCGGTCTCACCCTCAAACCCTTTCTCAAGTCGTCGTTTCTCATTTGAGTCACACTCGGTGACCTGAGAAACCAACAGGTTTCTCAGCGTGTGTCTAATCCACCTCCATTTTCTTTGGCATATTTGTCGA